CACAGGCACGCAGGCAGACCTGCCTGCATTGGAACCGTCCTCCCCGCCCGCCGCTCCCTCCTCTCCCGCCGCGGGGCTGCCCGTGAGCTCCAGCAAAAGCCGCGGCATTCAGCGAAGTTTTTGTCTTCCCTAATCTCCAGAGTTTTGTGTGTGTGTGTGTGTGTGCCCATGCACATTGTGTTTTCTCTCTCTCTTTTTTCTTTCTTCACACACCCCCCCCGGCTGCTTTGCCAGATGGCTAAAATTTGCCTCTCAATAGGGTCGGAGGCTCCAGCAAAAACAGAAGGCAAGAACGTGTGAAAAAAACCTGTGCGGGGATAAATAGCTTTAGTAGTGGTGCTGCAGCTGGGATCGGTGCTCGGGACTTGCTTTCGGCTTCTCTGCTCAGTGCCGTGCAGCGTTTAGGACGGGAATCTGGTTTCCAAGAAACTTTCGAGTTGTGACAGTCCGAATAAAATCAAGACCTAGTTTGCAGCCTCCTGCAGAACTGAGGAATTGCCGGGCTCAGCATTTTGTCCCAGAGCAAAAGAGCAGCTTTAGATGTGGACTCTGCTCGGGAGTGAGAACTTTAAACATTAAAGTTGCAGGTTCTGAGCCTGACTCCCTCCTGTCGAGGAAACAGGTAAAAACATGAACACTCCCCACTAAGCCACGGGAGATTCATTTCTCCTCCCTGTGCCAGGCACAAACCAACCCAAACTCCTCTTGTCTGCATAGCTAAAAGTGGGAATAAGATCTATTTGGGCTGCAAACAAGGGAATAGCCAGTAGGAAGTCAAAGGATGCAAGTGACTCCCTCGTCCAGAAATGACACCCTTGGAGACATGAAGAGCAAAACTCTTAAAAGCTGTTTACCAACGTCAGCTTGAGCTGGTTAATATAAACCCTGCAGACATCCACTGGCAGGCACAGATACATATGCGGTGTGTTAAAAGGCACACACAAACAAGAGCGGGGAAGAGGCAGGGAAACAGGGATGTGTTGGCACCACTCCTGGAGCAGCAGCTCCCAGCCCTCCCCGGACTCCCCAGCTCGCTGATGTCAGGCTGCGGCGCTGCTGTTAAAGGGGCGATGTTAACTCCAGCCTCGCGTTTCCCCCCCCCCCCAGCAACCCCGGAGACGCTGGGAGGGAAGGGGATAGAATGAATAAAATAGGATTTTCCTCTTTTTCCATTTCTTGCCTTTATGCTCTGGGGGTGGGTGTGTGTGTGTGACAGTTCCTTGGCTTCCCGTGCAGAAGCTGCTTCTCTTGCTCCCGTGGGTCTCTGGTTCTGCGCTGGGGAAGAAATGGTACCTGGGAGACTCAGTCAAGTAAAATAGAAAAATGTGAGTGGAAAAGCACTAGAAAAATAGCAGAAAGGCTCTAGGCAAAGGGAAGATCTCAGTCTGCCATTATTTGTAGCTCTGTTTAGGAAGTTTTAACAGCTCATCACTGTACAGACACGAGCTCTCACTCATGTTAACACACCCAAGCAAGCTGATCAAACTAATTAATATGTAAGCAATGTGTCAAATGCAAGTCTTTATTTTTGCAGGCAAGTGTGGTCTTGTCTGAGCCCTGAATACATTGTGATCTATTTTTTCCCTGCCTGTTCTGCAGGGTGGGTCCTTCATACACTCATTTTTTCCATCATGACAGACTTCTATACCTTTTCGGAACAGCCCCTCTAATTCAGGGGCAACTTTAATTCTGAAGTGACATTTTCCTTGCCTGCCGATGCCTTTTTCAAGCCAGATCACTGACGGTCAAAGTCTGTGTTTACACTGTGAGGCGGGACTGGGACACGTGAAGCGGCAACAGAAGCTCCACGTGTTTTTGGCCCATGTTGCTGGGTGTAGCATGGACTTAAAGCATCCATGCTGACCCTGTAGGCCCTGGAAGGCAGGAGAGGATGCCCAAGAGGCATCTCACTGTAGATCCCATCAGTGGCCCTCTGAGCTGATTTCCCTGCCAGACTGTCATACCCTGGGAGTTTCCTTGCCCCAGTGCTTGTCCCCATCCACAAGCCTCCCAAACCCCTTGGTGCGCAGAATCACAGCTCCCTGCAGATTCACAATGGGATCAGGTTTTTTTTTTTCTGGCCAAAGCTGACCTGAGACAGCATGGGCTCCTAAAGAAGGTTTAGAGGCAGTGGCTGAATGGCCACAACCTCATTTCTGCTGTCCCCAAGTGTCTAAAGCTACCTGCAGCCTCATGCATCCCTGTTACCTCCTGCTCCAAACCCCAGCCTTAACACCCAGAGTGTCCCAGTCCTTTACTAAAAGTGGCTCAGTTCTCCAAACCAGTCCTACTGGAGCCTGAATTAGCCAGCCTGGGTAATTGCACTGCCTCCCTCGGTGACAGCAGATCAGCCTCAATGGTCTCTGCACCCACTGCCACTGTGGGTCTGGGGCTGCCGTGCAGGGCTCTTCCCACTGAGCCATGGTGCCACCCGGCAGCCATGTGGGTTTGGCACTCCAGGTTGTTCTCAGCCTCCATAGCAATATAAGCCTGATGCTGCAGAGTGCTGGTGGGGAGATGGGCAAGGAACTTCAAAAGTAAGGTGGTGGAGAATCTTCTCTGGCTGCAATGCCTTCCCCAGTGTTATTCCCACCTGTCCAAGAGGAGGGTCCACCGCGGCCAGGCCTGGACACTCAAACGGCTGTGTGAAGTGTCCACCAAGAGTAAAGGCAAAAAAAAAGGTCACTGAGAGGAGGATCTGGTGCTGGCCAGGCAGGGTGCCAGGCAAGGGCCACCTTGGCTCCTGTACGCTGTTACCTGCTCTTTACATGATGCAGGGGTATTGAGTCTTGTCCCCACCTTACTGAGGGACTTGCAAAAATGTTATCTGAGGCCTCACCATGCAGTAACAGCAGAGGGCATGCTGCGTCTTTAACGAGGAGTGTTTTCTTCCCCAAGTGCTGATGGGACAGTGGAGTTAGACTGTGACAAACCAGCAGACAGACTTGGACCTCCTTTCTCACCAATGTCTCCCATACTTGAAGAAGTCATCCCTGGAGTTACATCTGCATGTCCATGATGCTCGCCAAGGAGTGAGTTCAGCAGCGTTATCCAAAGTGTTTCTTTAATGCTGCGGTCAAATTCACCTCCTGGAAATAATACCCCTATGCTCGGTGGAGTTAGACAGGGGTAAAACAGCTGTGAGGGATAAATGTGGACCTGCAGGAATAAGACTGTGGGATGAATCCACAGCTGGTGTAAATGATCACACACTGAACACCAGTATCTTGCAAGAGCTTGTGGCCCTGCTGCCCCCTGGGTCAGGCCAGCGCAGCCCACACCACAGTCTCTCTCAGGCCCTGCATTGCGCACGTTGCAACACGTGCACTGCTCCTTGTCATGATGTATGTGACAGGGACAGAAGTTCTGTCAGATCCTGCTTCTTGACAGAGCTATGACATCTCTTCTGCTCTCCTTCACCCTGGATGCTGGAGGAGGAGAGAGCCCATCCTCCAGGAGATGCAAGCTCTGCTCCTGGCATCTCTCCTCCGGCTCAGATGGGTTCCTGGAGCCCCCTCGTGGCTCTTACCACTGACGAGGTCCTACTAAAGCCATCCTTGGGGAGCTGCTGGTAGAGCCCACAGCACCCTGCTGCAGTTTCTCTTTGCAGCCCCAGGGCTAGGGACGCAGCAAGACCCACCTTGGGGATGTCACTGAGGGACAGGGCACAGAGGTGACAATGGAAACACTCAGGAGGCTGAACAGGGGAAATGGTCCTGTTGCAAAGCCATCTCCCTGCTTTGTGAGCTTGGGAGGAGACAGGTCCTTCAGCGGCTTTGCAGTCCCCTGCCCTTAAAGTCTGCTGCACTGTGCGCTCTCACAGTCCCAGGTGGAGGTGGCCACAGCCCAGACCTGGAGTGCAGGAGTGTAAGGGCATGGGAAAAGGGGGATATGTGACAACGGGGAAAAGAAGGAACATGGAGATGGGGAAAGGAGGCTACACAGAGGTGGGAGAAAGAGGCTGTAGGGTGATGGCAAGGGAGGCTCTGTGGAGAAGCGGGGAGAGCAGCTTGGAGGCGGCGCGCACGGAGGCGGTGAGCAGGGGCAGGATTGCTGCCCGGGAGGTGGGGACGTCCGTGTGTCCCACGGGGCCCCGCATGCCACTAGATGGCACTTGGATCTCTGCTTGGGAGGTTGGCGGGGACAGCGGCCCCAGCGCGGTGCGACACGGGCGTCCCCGGGGACGCCGGGGCAGGTCGGGGAGCGCTGGGCTCCCGGGGGCTTTTAGAACTGCTCCTTGCAGGCAGTTCCCACGGGTAATTCTGCCCTGGGGGCTGGATAAGGAGAAATTTTAGAGTTAGGATGGCTTTTTGGGACAGATGAGTTGCACCCAGCTTTCCCTCCCTGCCCCTGGGCCGTGCTGGCTCTCCTCCAGCATTTGCCCTGCGGTGAGGCTGATGCCACAGCCCTTTGCAGGGGTAACTTGCTGAGGTAGCGCACAGCATCGACTAGAAGGTACCTAAAAAAAAAAATCTAGTGCGCTATCAGCACAGCCCAGTGGCTATTTGCAATAAATCGATGCTTTGTTTGGCTGCAAGAGAAAATCACATCCATAATGCCGTGGATGGAAATATTGAGCCCTCTTATCCCCCTTTTCATCCCCATCCTCTGCCTCTACGTGCACGTCATGAGACACAGGTCACGGGATGCACCCTGACTATCAGGGCATGTTCACAACTGATACAAGATGACTGGGATTGTTTCAGCAACCTGGCGTTCCCCGCTGATGAGACTGGGGGAGGCTCGGAGGAGCCCAAAAGGGTGCACAGAGGAAAAAATGCATATAACATGGAAACAGAACAAGAGAAATCAGACTGTTGTGTCATATATTGGCCCAGTCAAATAGATCTGCTCCTACTGCTGGGTCCCAGCCACTGCATCACTGGCTCCTGACAGCTCCCAGAGATGTGACTTTGTGCTGGTATTTAACCATGTGTGCTGGCCCTGACTGTGATGGGTATTTTGGCATTGCTCCCCTTTGTATTCCATTGGGAGGGAAGTCCCTAAATGCTTTTGAGAGTGTGAGATTTGAGGTGCCGAAGCATGATCCACCATGATGGGATACAGGCTTGGCTGTGCCTATGCAACTGCTGAAGGACAAGCACAAG